CCAGGCGATAACTGCCGAAGTCTGCGACCGTCGACATCGTGAAGAAAGACCGGTGAGTGAGTTGCGGAATTCACATCAGATTTGACTTCCTTCAGAACGATGCCAGCGTGATGTGTAGATGAGTCCATTATGGGGGGGGGGGGGAGTCAGTTTATAACGGGTATGCTAGGCCAACGGCTGTACATAAAAAAAATTCCAAGTGAAGTGTAGGGAAAAGATGGCGGCTCAATTTCAAAAACTCGCCAAATGTACGATTTTCCTTACACGAAATTATGCAGTTTGTAGTTTAGAAACCTTGAATGCAGGTGTACCGGCAGGTCGGGTTCAAACTTATTCGACAATTGGGTAGGTTTCCTAAAACCAAAAGATGCTCATTGAGTAAACTAGTTGAAGGCATCGTTTGCTTCAGAATGGGTAGAAGAAAGGGTGTGTTTGTGCATATTCCCCGGAAAACGTATTTGAATTTATAAGAGCATCGAAAATAAATCGGAGAAGTTAATTCCATATAAGTAGTCATTCTTTACGGAATGCAGTTTGTGCAAGTGATCAGCAAGGAGCTCATTCGTAAGCCGGCATCCTGGCGTGACCGGAATACATTAACAGCATGTGACACAATGAGAACCTGTCTTAAGCAATCTTTTCCAACTGGAAACAAATTTCAGAATCCCGACTAACATTTCATGAGATAGCATGCCTACTAGGGACGCTTATGCCCAATCGGGATATGCACGCCTTCCTACTCACACAGTTATCTCTGAGACCGTTAAATCAGGCCCGCGACAAGTTTTGAATTGTTAACCAGAAACTCTGAATAATTGCGACCCTAACGTACGTTTTTGTGTGCGCGGTCTGAGACTGCTTGCCATTTAACCTGTGTTCGCCCAGAGGAAGCAGACGTAATCCACGACACGCCTACCAAGTTGATTTCCGGGACTCAGCTGGCCCCGTCATAGGGTGAACTCGAGCCAGTTGTTTTGCCGCCTCAAACGGGCCGCGTGGTAGATGCGCTGGACCAACGCTGGGGCCATGTCGGATTCTGACCGGCGTTGTCGGTTTGCGCACCATAACAAATGTCAAAATTTAGGGGTGCGGTGGCAGATCCGGCTGCCGCCCCCCCCCCTATTGCTGTTGTTGGTCAAAACCCGGTCATTGTTGTATGGACCAGGAGGTGTGGAGTGGAGCGCCGAGGTGTGGGCTCGACCGCGCCATCCACCTGCGCCCTCCCTCGCCTCCGGTCGTCTTGACTATGTCTTGACACCGTGTCCAGGTGGGTGAAGAGAGAGAGAGTGCGGTAGATGCTGTGCAAGCGTACCATCGCTATCAATTAAATCACGCGCAAGTCACCGTGGCTGCACTCAGCTCGCTGTGGAGCTCACGGTGGACATCGTCGGCAAGGACGGTCGAACTGTCGAGACCTGACTCCAATGGACGTTTTTCGGAGAATCCTGTTAGGGCAGCCGTCTACTTACGAAAATCTCATTCAGACTGACAAAGTGACTACATGAACGCACTAAGCAAGAGCCTGGTTGTTGTTGTTGCCAAATTTGCAAGGAGGCAGCCATATGTTACCAAACTTTGCCTATATATCGGAGCAGAATGTTCGAAGTGCGTTGTAGTAAACACCAGCGAACCATTCGTCCATCTGATATTGCCTAAATTCTCACATTTCCGCAGGAAGGGAATAAAAACAAAAGTTCCAAATTGTTCTGGACCTGTCTGAAGGAAAGATCTGATCAACGTGATCGTCTGATCTATGAGTAACTTTTGGTCTTGAAGGCAAATACCGTGTCCAACCTCGTCCCCATTCACGGCAGGGTGTTGCGGTGCGCGGTGATGGCGGTTATTGTCCGGGAAGATGAGGCGTGACGTCTTGACGTGCTGAACCTTCTAGTCCCTTCTAGGACCAGTTTCAAGCCAAATTTTACGTGGTTTCGCGAGTTAGTGGACGTGGCCGTTACCGACTACTAGGTGCCACCGCGTTAGAGTCGTAGAAGCGGCGACTTGCCCTTGTGCTGCCTCAGAATGTCGGAAGGAGCGAGTGCTTGAGCTGCCTGACCACGGCAGTTACTCCCGGTGCGTGTTGTGCCGCGTGCACAAGGTATTGTGGACTCCACTGGGTGGTTGGTCGGATGGGTCACTGCGTCGGCACCGTTGTGACGAGGCACGGTCTACACCGCTGGTCAGCCGGTGGGATGGATCTCCGAATCGGCATTGCCGAGACGCGCCCATCTGGTGCATCCTAGGAGACCGCGGGCTTACGGCGATGTCGTAGGCCATTGGCAAATTCGAGTCGTTCTTCCACTACCAACAAAATTCGAGGGACACAGTGGAGTTCTGCCGTCCCGACACAATAAAGGCAGCCCTGTTTAGGGGGGGGGGACACTGCTCACTGAAAAAGCTGGCCTAAAGATTGCTGGAGAACCACGTCGTCTGCAGGCTGACAGTGGTCGCAGACGCTTAACTCACGGTTGTAACAGGCAAAATCGAAACAACAAAAACAATCCACTCTCTCTTCTTCATCCTGCTTCTTCTTCCTCTTACTCTACCTATGCTTTTGCCTATTCTTCTCCTTCGTCGTCTTCTCCATCTCTTTCACGCCGCCGCAGTCGCCAGACTGGCAAATTCGGTCGTTCTCCACTACGAACAAAATGTCGTGGCCCCATAGTGGGGTTCGGTAGAGCCAAACAGGCACATAGGCAGCCCTATTCAGAGGTGGCACTGCCTGCACTCTCTAGGGCAACGGCCTAGAAAAGGTGGACTAAAATCTGCTCGGCACCACGCAGTCTGCAGGCTAGCCAGGGCCGCAGATGTCCTAAACATGGTCGAAAAAATCAAAATCGAAACAAGAATAACAACAACAACAACAACGACAACAACAATCATACTCATTCTCCTCATCCTACCTCTTATTCCTCTCCTTCTTCTCCATCGTCACATTCTTCTCCACCTCCTTCCCGACGCCCCAATCGTTGTCACCAGACTGGCAGGGTGAGCCCGCTCACTCAAGCAGCCTGGAATGTTCGTTCCCTTTTAGATAATCCGAGGAGCAACCGACCGGAACGGAGGACAGCGCTAGTGGCCGGGAACTGGCGCGCTACAAGGTGTACATCGCCGCACTCAGAGAGACTCGATTCTCCGAACAAGGCCAACTGGAGGAGGTGGCTGCCGGTTACACCTTCTTCTGGAGTGGTCGACCCAAGGCAGAGCGACGAGACGCGGGCGTCGCCTTCACCATCCAGAACGACATCGTGGGACGACTGCCCTGTTTGCCGCAGGGAATCAACGACCGCCTGATGAGCCTCCGTCTGCCTATCTTGGGAGGCAAATTCGCCACCATCATCAGCGCCTACGCTCCGCCGATGACCAGCCCCGACGCCGCCGCAAGGGACAAATTCTACGAGGACCTGCACGCCCTCTCGGCGACTGTGCCGAAGGCGGACAAGTTGATTGTCCTTGGTGACTTCAACGACCGCGTCGGCACAGACCATACTGCCTGGAGGGGAGTGCTGGGTCCCCACGGTCTCCGTGGCTCAAACGACAATGGTCTGCTGCTTCTCCGCACCTGCGCAGAACACCGCCTCATCCTGACGAACACGTTCTTCTGTCTGCCGGAGCGAGAGAAGGCCACCTGGAGGCATCCTCGGTCGCGTCAGTGGCACCTGCTGAACTATGTCCTCGTCCGGAGACGAGATCAGCGGGACGTGCTGGTGACGAAGGCGATCGCGGGTGTTGACGGGAGGACGGACCATCGCCTCGTAATCTCGAAGATGCGTATTCGCCTTCAGCCTCGCAGTAGACCACAAGGTAAGCGACCCTCAGGTAAGCTGAAGGTTCCCTTGTTGTCTCTGTCCGCTCACCGTCTCCATTTCAGCAATAAGCTAGCTCAATGGCTACACAAACTTCCAATCGCTGCCGCCGCTGTCGACCCCGACGCCGTCGCTGCCGAGAACGCCTCCGTGAAGAACCGTTGGTGTCAACTGAGAGACACGTTCTAGTCGACGGCGATAGCCGTCCTCGGCCGCGCACGCCGCCAACACCAGGACTGGTTCGACGACAATAGCGCCGTCATCAGCAATCTGCTCGCCGAAAAGAACCGCCTGCACACAGCCTACGTAGATCACCCCACCGACGACAACAGAGCTGCTTTCTGCCGCAGTCGCCGTCTAGTTCAACAGCGACTGCGCGAGATGCAAGACGCCTGGACGGCCTGCAAAGCTGTGGAGATTAAAGGGTACGCGGTCAGCAATGAATGGAAGAATTTCTTTTCCGAGATCAAAGCTGTCACGGTCCGCCGACGAAAGGCACTGCTCCTCTCCTCAACGCCGACAACAACACCCTCTTGACCGAGAAGACACAAATTCTACAGCCATATGTCGAGCAAATCCTAGGCGTCGTCAACCGTCCCTCCAGCATCTCCGACGCCGACATCGTCCGCCTGTCGCCAGTGGAGACCAACGTGGAATTCGACCTCCCGCCATCTCTCCAGGAGACCATCAGGGCCGTGCAGCAACTCTCCAGGGGAAAGCACCCGGATCGGACGCAATCCCTGCTGAGGTCTACAAGCACAGTGGTCCCCAACTCATGGATTGCCTGACTGCGCCCTTCCAGGAGCTGTGGCGTCAAGGTGTAGTCCCGCAAGATTTCAAAGACGCAACCATCGTGCATATCTACAAACGAAAAGAAACCGCCAATTTTGCGACAATCACCGTGGCATCTCCTTGCAGAACATCGCCGCGAAAATCTTTGCCCGCATCCTCCTCAACCGCCTGAATAATCATCTAGAACAGAGTCTTCTACCTGAAAGCCAGTGCGGCTTCCGCCGTAATCGCGGGACCACGGATATGATCTTCGCCGCCCGTCAACTTCAGGAGAAGTGCCAGGAGATGCGGACCCACCTGTACTCTACATTCGTGGACCTGACGAAAGCCCTCGACACGGTGAATTGTGAAGATCTGTGGAAGATCATGCAGAAATTCGGCTGTCCCGAGTGATTCATTCAGATGATGCGTCAGCTGCACGACGGTATGATGGCGCGAGTCACGGACAACGGAGCTGTCTCAGAGGCATTCGCAGTGACCAACGGAGTGAAGCAGGGATGCGTGCAGGCGCCTACCCTTTTCAGTTTTATGTTCTCTGCCATGCTGATTGACGCCTACCGCGACGAACTCCCCGGGATCCGCATCGCCTACAGGACGGACGGTCACCTCCTGAATCAACGGCGGATGCACTTCCAATCGCGTGTATCCACAGCCACCGTGCACGAACTTCTCTTCGCCGACGACTGCGTCTTCAATGCAACTACTGAAGGAGGTATACAACGGAGCATGGACCTCTTCTCCGCCGCCTGCGAGAACTTTGGGCCGGTCATCAACACGCAGAAGTCGATGGTCATGCATCAGCCGCCACCCAACACAGCCACTTATCCTAACGCGTCGACTCCTCAAATCAGTGTGAACAGAACCCAACTGCTAGTGGTGGAGAACTTCCCGTACCTGGGCAGTACCCTCTCCCGCAGCATCAAAATTGCTGACGAAATCGCCCGCAGGATTTCAGATGCCCATCATGCCTTCGGTCACTTCCAAATCACTGTCTGGAATCGTCACGGTCTCCAGCTCAGCACGGAGCTGAAGATGTACAAGGTCGTATTCCTGTGGACGCTGCTATACGGAACGGAGACTTGGACAGTGTACACGAAGCCGGCACGCCGACCGAACCACTTCAACCTCAGTTTTCCTCGTCGCATCCTGAGACTGCGCTGGCAGGATCGAATCCCCAACACTGATGTACTGGAACGGACGGGAATCCTCAGTATCTACACCATGCTGAGACAAATGCAGCTGCGTTCGAGCAGCGCCCTGGTGCGAATGGACGAAGAGCGACTACCGAAACGACTCTTCTACGGTGACGTCGCCACGGGTTCTCGTCGCCAAGGAGGCCAAATTCTCCGTTACAAGGATACACTGAAGTCCTCCCTGAAGCGTCTGCAAATTAACCCGACAAACTTGGAAGACGTCGCCCTCCACCGACCGACCGATTTGGAGGAGGACAGTGAAGACAGGCGCTGCGATCTATAAAGCCAACCGCATCGCCGCCGCCAAAGTGAAACGCGAATCACGCAAATCACAGCTGCGCCCACTACGCAACGCAGACCCACAACCGATTCCAACGTGTCCTCAGTGTCAACGGACATTCCGGGCACGGATTAGACTTATTAGACACCTTCGCATTAACTGCGCCTCCCGGACTGCACCAACCGTCGTTACTCCGTCCGCCTCTTCCTCGTCCTCTCCGCCGTCAACCAACTCTGACTCTTCTTCCGAACCACCACTTCCATCCTCCTCCTCCTTCTCCTCCTTCTCCTCCTCCTCCTCCTCCTCCTCCTCCTCCGCGCGTCCCTCCTCTTCCTCATCCCCACCCCAGTTTTTCCTCCTCCATTGCCCCAACGACGACCGCTCTGGCGGCCGTCACGCACACCAGCACCACACGCACCCCTGACACAACTAAAGACATCACCCCTGCAACCTCTGACTCCAGATATGAGGACCAGGACTACATCTGCCCTCACTGCGGCCGCACCTTCTCCTCACACATCGGCCTCGTCGGTCACTTGCGAATCCATTGCACAGAGGCTGGCGAACCAGTGCCTTGGGCACCCATCTACACCCACCGCACTCGCCTTAACTGCCCACACCGTCCTCGCACCTTCACGCATCACATGGGCCTACTCGGCCACATGCTCACCCACGAAGACCTGCGGTAGTCAACCGCGGGCTGCACCACACCCTTACATCCCCCTCTTCCTCCCTCACCACCACCACCACCACCACCACCACCACCACCACCACCACCACCAGCCCACTGCACATCAACACACCCACCGAAAGCACCCAACTACCACCCCCCACGCAAGTGGGAAGTGCGCATCTCGACACGGTCCCCGTGAGAATTCTGCTGCACGGGTGACTTGGATCTGAAACTATCCCGACACGTCAAGCGTCGTGGATTTGAAGGCTGCTAAATGACACCCCCACTCGTTCCCCGCAGTCCGTCCGGTTGTGTGTGTGTTGTGTGTGGAGTAGCGGACTGGTGGGCTGGGAGACGGGCTGAAACAGCACCTTCCACCGCCCACTCACGCAAGTGAGAGACACGCCGTTCAACCCCCCTTGTGTGAAATCCTGGTGTTTGTGTGTGTGTATGGGGGGCCAGGTCGTGCTGTGGAGCGCGCAGTCATGGTCAGTCGATCATGCTAGCCACCGCGGCCATCTGCCACTCCAGTCTGCTGACGGGCTCGGACAGCGGCTGGGGTGTGGGAGTGGGAAGGGAGAGTGAGGTCGACGACTCAGCTCACTTTCATCCTCACTATAAACAATCTGACGCGCTTGAAACTATCACGGCGGTATAAAAGCGGTGGCTTGGAAGTTTGTCAACTGACGGGATAACTTGGACCTCCTCCTGGACTGGTGATGGCCTGAGAGTCAGGCTGCAACGGCTCCTTCTTAATGTGGTCTTTGTAGCACTCCCACCACAATGTGGGATCCGAGCCAGGCTTTGTCTTCACGCCTAGGTGCGGCTTCGGTTGTGCTAGCCTCCAAATCTCTGTTTGTTGGTCAAAATCCTGGTCATTTTTGTGTGGGACAGGGAGTGTGGTGGAACGCCAAGGTGAGGATCCGTCCGAGCCATCTACTTGCGGCCTCCCTCGTCTCCGGTCTTCTTGACTCTGTCTTGACACCAGGATCAGGCGGGGACAGAGGAGAGAGTGTAGGTAGATGCAGCGCAAGTCTACCTGCACTATAAACCCCTGCGCCAGTCATCAATTCTTCTCCCTCCACTGCTGTGTGGCATACGGTTGACACCGTCGTAATCACGATCGAACTATCGCGTGTGTGTATGTATGTATGTATGTGTGTGTATGTTGGAGTGTAAGCAACTAATTTCTCAGTCGATTAAAAGAATGACATTTCTCAACTGGACCACCAGCAAGAAGGCACACGAGGAAGGCTGTCTACCAGTGGATCAAAAAATTTCATGACGTCAGTAAATTCTGCACCTGTGCCGTCGTCTTTGCCAGTTAAGTGTGAGACGTCAGATGCTGGAATATGTTTTGGTGTGGGGGCGAGCTTTGCCGACAGTCGTTACTGTCATTACTGGCGTCCTTTTTCAAGGCCCCGTTGCGTCAAGGTCTGATGGCCATGCTCGAGAGTATAGCCCAATCAGCCTTGAAGTTGATTGGTCGGCTTATGCAGCTGTGATTGCCTGAAAATCAGACTGCCTCAGTGTTTCAACAGGCGCCTGAGTAGGGCCACTTTAGTTCATCATAGTTATTCATCCCTTTTTGCTCTGGAGATAGGAGCGTAAGTCCTGACACGCCGGAGGTCAGTAGATGTGCCGACTTAATTGAATGCACGCCTAGTCACAGGTACAATAGGGTGAGTCACGCAGTCACGTAAGCTCTCCGGTTTACAATGGCGGTTTCGTCGAAGTCGATGGTGTGGCCGTTCTCTGCGACGTACAATGTGTTTATATGGTAGAGGGGCCGCTCATAGATCGTGTAACGGAACTCACTCGTCCCGTTGTGCCTTAGAGCCCTCTCTAGCCCCACCCGCAGCCGCACAGCGGCGCGTGATATATGCAGAATAGCATTATCGACAGAGCAGTAGACCGGAATGGCCATTTCTGGCTTACTAGCCATCATCAGCCAGTCATACCGAACCCCGAAGTGTGGAATACCAGTGGCTCGATCACGCTACCTGTTAGAAGTTCAACAAATCTAAACACTGAGCCGCAGGCTCGCCGTCCAGTCGGGATTGGGTATGACTGGCTGACGAAGGCTAATGAACCAGAAATGCTCATTCCAGCCTCCCTCGTCTCTGTCGGTAATGCCATTCTGCCTATATCATGCGCCGCTATGCGGCTGCTGGCGGGGCTTGAGAGAGAACACTCCAAGGCACAAGGGGGCGAGTGGGTTCCGGAAGAATACGATCGGTGATTGCCCCTCTAACATTGTATATTCTCGATCGCAACCGACAGGGCATCGAGCCCGCGGCTCACTCGTTAAAGATGTTGGATTTCTATCCGACAGGTCGCGGGACCGTGCCCCAGCTGTTCCACAATTCGGGGTTGAGTATGAAGGTGTTATTAGCTAGTTCTCTCGTAGGCGCGTGTTTGAAAATTGATAAGAGACTCATTCAATCTGACCCAGAGTAAATGACGCCCTAATGAAGCTTCTAAGATTTACGAAAGTTACAGTCACCAGAAACCCAGGTCCATTCGTGATACACAAATTTCGAATTTTAAACAATCTTTTACCACTTCATATGTACTCGGGCGTCAGCGGGATGTGACTGCGAGATAGGGTCCACTCGTGGTGTTTCAATAATTCGAGGAGTCTCTTACAAAACCCCTCTGGCGTTTGTAATCGCCCCCTAGACTCTGGACCATAGCTAGAGTTGACGGTGGCTTGTAGAGGACAGCCATTATGGCCGGTCAGGCGTCATTGTTCAAGACCTCGCTGCCTCAAGGTCATTCACCCCTTTACAGTGAGCCGTTCCAGACGCGCTGACCGACAGCTCGGGCATGCCTGCGTCCGCACAGCCGCAGCTTCCCATAGGGCCACTTGAACACACCGCCCCCCTGCAACCACAACCTAAGCCACTGGGACACCACCCCTCGGCAAATACAACACACACCGACTGGCCACCAGTTGAGCTTGGCCCACGAGCCTACAAAAGCGGCTGTCACCACTATCTCAGGGACTCTCAGGCCTGACTGGACGCAGTCAACACCAGCCCTGGCTTCGCCAGTGGCCACTGCCGCCTGAGAGGACAACTTCGGGTTTTGTACAC